ATATGGTCACATGATACTTGTCAGCGGATACCTTGATTTGACAGGTGTCAATTGAACATAACATGGATGTCCATTATGATCAGAGATGTATGCAGTAAACTGAGGCTGCATGACTTGGTCGACCTATTAGCGTATTCCATGCTGCTGGCCATGTTGACCATGAAAAAAGGTGTTGCATGGTTTTCTATTTCACTGAATGCATGTATCTAATGTATCTCCATGTATCTGCACTTATTTCTATCTGTGCATTTTGTTGTTGTTGTTGTAATGTGGGTCTTTCCCTAGAATTATAGTGTTCCACTTTTCGGGCCACCAGAGCTCCACTATTAAAACTGAAGTGTTATTCTGTAGATTAGCAGACTGATGGATAAAAGGTAATAAATGAGAGCCTTTTGAAAATGAGGTTATACACTTGAAATAATGTAAAGATTTGACTTAGGTCTTATCTTGAGGGGTAGGGTTGTTAAATTATTATTATTGATATCGTTATAGTGATATGTAAGTGTTTCTCAACAGGCAAATGCCCTGGTTAACAGCCTCATTGGAGAAAGCAGAATTTCAACATTGGGTCTAGTGGTAGTTGATGAGGTACACACTGTATCAGAATCCAAAGTTTGTTCTACAATCTGGCTGTCTGCTGATAATATCTTGTGTGTTGAACATCTGTTGTTGATTATCGTAAAATTCTGCTTGAATTTATTATATTTTATTAGTTATTCATAATTTTATTAATAATAGCTTCAGTTAATACTCTGTCCTTTACATAATGTAGAGAACAAGATACATGATATATACATGTATAACAAGGAATATCCATAGGATAGAATAACCTATTATTATGTCACTAATATGGAAGCTGTTCAGTTAATATTTTGCTCGTTGTTGAATCCTCTCACCATTGATTACAGCAACGAAATATTAATTTAAACTACTCCAGGAATATTAGTGGTAACTCTTACTAGTGCTTTTGGTTTTTGGCTTTAACTTCCATTTAAGTCTCATGGAAAGACTAGTTCAGAAGATCAAAACTACTTACTAAGTATATATATTACATATTAATTTCACTTCTCCACTTATGAAAGTTGATTATTATAATATAGAAGAAGCTGTAATCATACATGTATATAATTTAATGTCCCTATAGGCTAGTCAATATTTCCTTGTCTAACATTGTTTTTTTTCTGTATCTGACCAGCTACATATGTTGGGTGAAACAGTAAGGGGTGCCACCTTAGAGATGTGTTTGGCCAAGCTCATGTTTGTTTCTTGTAAGTAGGATATGAATCATGATTTCACATAAAATAATTACCAGACAAATTTTGTATACATCTAACTTTTAAGTATAATATTGCTGTGTTCACATCATAGTGAAATCTGACTGGAACAGCCCGTAAAAAATGGTATATCCACAGAAATGGAGGTAATTTTACAACCCACAGTGCTTTCTGGGTGCTGTAATATGCATGTTATACTCTTGCAAGAAAATCCTTGCAGTTAAATATTTTTATGAGTTTTAATCATTTATATTTTGAAGTGAAATTGTATTAACTTGTTCACTATACTTTGTACTGTTTTAAACAGTACTGAGTAAAGAGTAGTTAGCAAGTGTCAATTTATCTCGTTGAAATGATTTCTTTTGCATTTTGATTTGCAGCCACCACCCAGATAATTGGAATGAGTGCTACTTTAAGCAACATTGCAGACTTGAAGGCATTTTTAAAGGCTGAGGTGTATTCAAATGATTTTAGACCAGTAAGTGTACAGTTAAATTAGATCCCAATAGTGCAGGTGTGTTGGCCCAGCTAATGGCTGGTGCACTGGATTCCAGCTTGAGTTGTCTGGGTTTGAGCCCTGGCTGTGGACGTTGTGCTGTGTTCTTCAGCAAGACACTTTACTCTCACAGTGCCTCTCTCCACCCAGGTGTATATATATGGGTACCGGTGAATTTAATGCGTTAAACCAGGGGAGGGGGGCTAGCAGAAATCCTCCTAGTCTCTTTAATAGTGCTACAGAAGCCAGGGGTTTCATTAAGGGCCAGGCACCGGGAAAATTGAATGGCC